TCTTACCCCAAACCTTGAAAAAAATCTTTCGAGTTAGAATTTGGAGTAACAGCTAGAGGGAGCGTTAAATGTTAGAAATTTGTGAGTAGTTTACTCTAATACTATAGAAATAATATTTTAATGTCAATTGTAGATATAAACCCTATTGTGGTATTTTTGAGTACGGGCCTCATTTGTACTTGATTGTTAGCTAGGAGACCAGGTAACTAAATTTCTATCTATTACATGCATTGGTATGTGGTTTGTAAGTGATTTTATAACCAAGTTTCATATACATATATTATTTTAGTATGAACTGTCTTGTAGGATACTATTTTGAAAAATATTGAAATCGTTTGTATTGTTAGAAATTAATAATTATGACTATGAGGTGTTATGAACTGTCTTGTGAGATATTATTTTGAAAATAATTAAAATCATTTGTATTGTTAGAAATTAATGATTATGACTATGAGGTGTTATTCTGGAATTCGGTTGATTATGCATATAGATATATTATTTTGAACCCTGTGCATCTGGTTTGGATGGGAGAATGAGATGATTGGAGTTATTGATATTTATATATTTATCACGTGGTATTAGTTTTCGTACAGAACTCTATGGTTGGCCACTATTATTGTCCCATTAGTTCTTCGAGGGACTACGACACCCCACTAGTTCTTCGAGGGGGACCCATGGTCAATCGAGTGCTATGTGGTCTTTGGCCTGTCCATATGACTCGTGTGATGAGTTTGTTAGAGTAGTCAGTCAAATGAAAAGAATTTAACCCATGGGTCCAATCGGCAGAAATAAGGAGGATATAAAGATGGATTTGGGTTTATGGATTGCATATGACATGGTATCTGCATTTGATATTTATATCTTTTGAATAAAATGAAAAGTATGTTATCTCTTCTGAAATTTATCAGCTATATGAGATTGGCGGAACTATTTGACTTATATGGTTATTGTGAGTTAAACTATTAAATAAATGTCTATTAATTACTATTAACTTTGTGTATCTCACTTGACACCTCACTAGCCCATGCTAGTATGTATAATAGGTAAGGATTTAGTTACTGAGACGTTATCTCATCTCTATTGTTTAACATTTTTCAAGTGAAAGCTTTAGAGGAAAGACATCAGGAAAGGCTTAGGAGGAGTAAAGCTACATTAACGACTTGTAGCGTCACCTCGATTTATGAGCTATATTGTATCTTGTATATTGCCATCTTAGAATAAATTGTTTTTAATTGATTCATGCATTATTATGTCTTATGTCTTTTGAATGTACTATTGTGGTATGTGTGCTGGTAGTTGATCAGAGACCTATGATCACATGTGATTTGTTTATGAATTTATTATAAAGTATGAATTAAGATTTAATTCTTAATTTTTGATTTATGGGCTATATTATATGTTGTTTTATAACCATATTAGATAAGATTGATCTTTTCTTACATACTTTGTATTTGACTGAGTTAAGAAAATTTTTTTTATCTGTGATATGATGTGTAATTGGGTGCTGCTATTTTCTATCACATATAACAATATTATATAATTAGTTAGTGTAGATGATTGTGATATAATTTGAATTTATATTTAGTATGGTTTGGTTATAAAAAGTTATTTTTTAAAGTTATTATGAAAAAGTTAAATTTATCGATTTATTTAGAAAGGTTGTTTCAATAGTTTACTCTTGTTTTAATAGTTACGTTGACTAAAGAAAACAATCTTTCTCTCTTTCTTGTTTTTCCCCCTTTGTTTTAATCTTCTTCGTGGGTTTTGTCCAAAACATTTGATTGATTAGTATAAATTATTACTAATGAATTAGGTTAAAAGTTGGTGATTAAGAAATGTATGATTCATTGCACTTGGCACCAAACTTTTTGAAACTAAGACGTTCCATAATACCAAGGCAACTAATGTTTCAATCGTCCTATTCATAATATAAGTTGATTTTAACCACGACAGGAACAAAAGTTTATGGTCAATTAAATAGTAGTTACATCATTAAAGATGGAAAAATTGTAGTATTTTTCAAATATACACCCTTATCAAAAATTAATACTACAGTAATTATAATATATTAATTATAATTATTTGTGAAATTTAATTGTACTAAAGAGAAAAATAGAAAAAATATTAAATGTTCTAGATATTATCAAAACGGACTTATATATTTTTTAGAAAAATAAGTTGGAAGAAAAGGACTTATGTTGTGCACATATATGCATATGAAAAGGCAGTCAGGTTGGAAATATATTATGCTCCCTTCATTCTTAATTATTATATCCGCGATCTTAATTATAAGATCTTGTTTATAGTCTAAAAACGAAGTCTTATAATTAGGACCGGAGGTAGTATAAGAAAAAAAATTTGGAGGATGTGGTATTCCTATATATAATACAATTTACAAAAATATGGCAGTAATTAATATATCTTTTTCTAAAATACCTGTAACCAATAAATAAAAAAACTTGGCCCACCCAATAAAAGTGAACGGACAGGATACACACAAGTATTTATCTTTATATAACGGAAGGGAGAATTGATGTTAATTAGATGTCTTAATTATATCATTGGAAGCTAAATAGTTATTTTAAAAAATAAAAATCTGTATATATGATATAACTTTTGCTTTCTTAAAATTAATAATAAAAACCTATTCAAAAATGTGATTGCTGATAAAGTTTAATAGTGTCATGCGATCCATATAATAGAGACGACCTAGAAAGATAAGATTTTGTTATTGTTGTATCAAAGTCAAGGAATTATATTAATATCTTGACGTGAAAAAAAGAAAAGAAATAAAGAAGACAATTGATTTACGCGTTGGGAATCAAATTAAGTATTTCACTAAATTAACTTATGTTGAAACTTAAAATAAGCTATTTATAAATTAATTACGAAATAAGCAAATGAATATACTCCTCCTGTCCTTAATATAGGACCCAATTGTTGAGTTAGTTTTGATCCTAAATATAAGACCTATTTCTCATATTTATCAATTTTCTCTAAATTACCCTTATGGATACTTCCTTAACTATAATCAATTATAAGAAGGAAAGATGGTATTAAGAAAGATGATTATAGTGTTTTAGGAAAAACGTATCACATTTCTTATAATTAACTAACTTACTTAACTTTTTTAATCTAATCAAATTAGTTAAATGAGTCTTATATTAAGGACCGGAGGAGTATTATAATGTACATGCATAAGTCAGGACAAAACAAAAAAAGGCCAAACAAAGCCTTCCCATGTGAAATTATTCCAAATCCATGGCCCAAAAAAAAAATCTAAATTCATTCCTGACTATAATTCAAATTACTTTTGAAATCATTTATAATTTGATAAAGAAAATAAGGTTAATGTAATTTTTAGTTCCATAAATCTGTATTTATTTTGGCTTTGGTTCCTCAAAACTTTTGGTCCCTCAATTTTTTTAATTTAAAACATTGATTTTTATAATCTAATAAAAATATAGACTATTTTGTCCTTTAAGAGACTAAAACCTATGGTTTGAAACTTGAAAAACCAAAACCAAAACCAAAATGAGAACAAATTTAAAGAATAAAAAATTATATTAACCCAAGAAAATATTATCTTTGTTATTAAATAGAAGTCTAAAATATACTAAAATATACTACCTGTATATAATAAAATATTTATTTCTCACAAAAGTCTCTGGTTGATCCATTGGTATGTGTGTCAGGTGAAGAGGCATGACTTTGACTAACCGTTAACTGTTAAGGATAATTAAGTTTAGAATAAAAAAATCAATTTTAAAAAGGGAAAATCCCAAAAAAGGTCCTTGGAATATGGGAAATACCAGATTGGGTCCTTAAATTTCGAAAATGACAGAATGGGTCATTGACCCAATCTGTCATTTGTGAAATTCAAGCGAATTGACAATTTTGCCCTCATTTATTCATTCACTACAATGATTCAAGGAATCACTATAAGAGTTTAGGTGTTACCTAGATTCGTATAGCGAATAACTATTCACTTTTTCATAGTCAGGTATCTTGTTATTAACTACAACTAATGCTGTAATCACTAGAACAATGTAAGCATTACCTAGATTTGTGTAGAGAATAACTACTCATTTTTTCATAGTCAAATATCTTATTATTGTCAGGTACCTTATTATTAATTACAACGAATCTTGTAATCACGAGAACAGTGTAAGCGTTACCTAGATTTGTTTAGAGAATAACTACTCACTTTTGCTCAGGGGCAAAAATGTCAATTCGCCTGAATTTCACAAATAACAGATTGGGTCATTTGACCCAATTTAAGGGCCCAATCTGGGATTTGGCGTATTCCAAAGGCTTTTTCTGGGATTTTTCCTTTTAAAAATAAAACCTGACTTAAATAACTTTCTTAATATGTATAAGGTACGCATTTGTAACCCATATTTGGATCATATAGTTATAAAATAAATATTTTGAAATCACTTAGACTAAGTAACAATAACGCAATATCTGATTTTTTTTTTTATTCTTCTTTTTTCTCATTTAAAAACCAAAATAAAAATTTTAAAATCAAATGATAAAATTACCCTCCGCCCATAAATTAAACTATTGAATATCAGGCTGCTGCTGCTGCTTTTCTTTTGTTTTTTTTTTTTGTTGAGCAAATGCATTGGGACTACATAAGCAAAGAACGCCATACCAAAGGGTATGGCTGGGTAATGATTGTATTTGATTGGAGCAGCATTGTAGAAGCATGCATTATGGGAAATTAATTAGACCTCTTTCTTTGAACCCCACTTGCCTCTCTAATTGGTGTGAAGCAATATTATATACTCATGGGGAGCCATTTCATGTACATCAAGCAGATGCATGTATTTACCTTAAAAAGTTTTCAGGTGAATTACTAAGGATATTCTCAAACCACTTTAGGCTTTTAGAGGCTTGGAGCGTATTAAAAAGTTTTTGCTTCTCCCATCATGTGCTTCCTAGGAGTCAAACTTTGTTTTCCTCCCTAAAAAGGTGAGGCCAATACTAACAAAAAATAAAAAGAAGACCCAAGAAAGATTGTAACAGGCAAAAAGCCCTGTACCAAAGTTTTACATTTTCCAAATAATACCAAGAATGCATACTAAAGGGTCCACATAAGTCTTGCTGCACCTGTTACCTTCTAACAGTGAACAAAACAAAGCAAAGCTAGACTTCATAAACAATAGAAAGAAAGGAGGGAGGCAAAGGCCCTGATCAAGAGTGGTAATTATTTATGAGGTTCTTCTCATAGTAAGTCACTGCTTCCAACATAATCTTTGGATTCCAAGGCGCTAACCGTGTTTGTTTTACCTTTTAGACAGAATAGAGGCCAGGCCCACCCTCCATCCATACAACATAGAGAGGCCGTGCCTTTGAGGAAGAAGGGAAGCCAGGCCTGTACGTGAGCTGTTGGTAAAACTAATCTGCTTGGCACTTGGCTCTGAGGACCTGAAATTATTTCAGCATTTTACAGGAAATCAGTAAGAACTTGGTGATGCTCTTGGCATGTGAAAGATATAAATTCCCAAAAACTAATCGTTTCGGCGACGGGGAAACATTAAGGAAAGTAAAAAGCATCATAAACCTAGCTTGTGACGGTGGCATCAGGTATGCATTATGAGCAATAGAGCATATAAATTAAACCAACTCTGAATTTTGTTCAAATAACAGACTTTTCTAAGGATCCTCGTAGAACCTGCAACAATCAGATGATTTTGGGGAAACTATATTTGGGGCTATCCTCTATTATTGCTCGAAAATGTAGACAATCACTAATCTCTCCCACTCTGTATCACTCAGCTAGGAAGCCTACCTCTTACTGCTAAGAAAAAGTTAACTCTCAAAAACAGAAAATTAACAAGAACCAAAAGAGAAAATCCTTTCCAGGCTGATTTTCAAGAGACAAGGCCCACTCCTCACGCTACATTGCTTCCCCCAACCCCCACTTTCTAGCGAGAGTTACGACGAGATCCCAAAAAATAATCACAAAACAAGTCTCAGAGATTGTCATTTTCTACTTTGGAACTTATCATTACAAGCTGCTTATGTTGTTATTAAAACTCTTTAGTAATTATTTTTCTTGTTTGGGACCTCATTGTAATGCTCCCCACTTTCTAATCTGACCTAATCATAAATCGTTAACCAGCATTATTCCTATTCTGCCCTTCCCATGTGCATTATTATTATCAGCGTTTTGGTTTGGCCCTGATCCTCCTCCCTTGGCCCTTCTCTTGTCAACTCTGGCCCCATGATTTAACAGGCCCATAAGTTCTGTTTAGTTTACAGAATATAAGCTCAAAGCAAGCAGACTGGTATAACCGAAAAAGGCGTTTGATACACACACCCCTTTTCAGTTTTACCAGTCTGCTTGCTTGTATAACTGAAAAAGGTGCTTGTTACTGGGGATTTAATCCCCAATATTTTTTTAATTTTCTCTGTTCAGGCTTAAGCCTTCCTTTGTATCAAAAAAAGAAAAAGGTGTTTGATAAGGAGAAATTGCCTGGTTATGTAAAAGATTAAAAAGAAATTGAAAACAGCGTTCCGAAAATACCATTCCTCTAAAGAATAATAAAATATGATCTTTAAATTTTTCAACAATAAAATGTATCAAAATAATCATTTTTAATTATCATTATCAATAGAATATAATAAAAAAGGAAACAGAAAATTGTATTATAATAATAAAAAATTATTATTAATTTTTAATTCTAAACATTTCATACTCGCTGATCAAAATATTAAAATGATCAATAATGTGAAAATCAATTGAAAAAAATTAAAAAAAAAAACTTAACAATACTGATCTATTCTTTAATAGATCAAATGAATAAGATCTTGATCTTTCAAAATAAGAAAATAAAGATAAATAGGCAACATGCTAGATTGTTCAATTGTGAAATGAATGCACCAGAACCTGATATAAAATAAAACTTTCTAAATCTAACAAATAAAATAGAACTCACAAGACTTTCAGGGATATCATCATATGACCCATATTTATTACACTTTCACAGATCTATCCTTTTCCTAATAGATTTTGATCTTGTCATTCGAGTTACGGGCGCAAATGAGGATGTTAAACCTCAGGGAGATTGCTGACAAAACTACCCATGTAATGTTCAATTCTTTAATGAAAATGCGGTCAACTATTTAGTACGGTGCCTTCAACAAAAGAGAGGTAGACGATAGTGGTTGCATTACTAAAGAAGAAAAAGAGGAATATGAAGATAAAAATGAGACTCATCAACGTACAGAGGTATTAGGTTGTTGTTTGATCAGTCAGATTTTCATTTTCACCATCCTCCCTAATATTACAACCAGCATTCTCTACCTTGACCTTTCCAAAGGCCAACTGCACTTTCAACAAAGGAACAAACCTCACATTGGCAATACCGGCAGCGATCTTACTGAAGTTCAACATTGCCATTCATGCTGACTTGGATTACAAGATTGGAATCTATTGCGAGAAATCCATGGAAGTCTGGATAGATGAAGCTATGTGATAACGCTCCTAGAATAATCAAGAACTTGAATTTACTTTTCTTGGATGCAGGGCCCGACATAAAATAAAAATCTCAATATAATAATAATAATCATAAATTTATAACAAAATAGAATTCTCAAGACTTCATGAGCATGATCAAATAGCCTCACCTCTATCAGACTTCCACGGACCTATATATTGTTCTTGTTAGAATTAACCCGGAAGTGACGCAAATATTTTTACATATCTTCCCCTAAAACATCTCTTCTATCACATGCCTACTATCGAATATCATTTTCAGTCACACCTTCCTTTCCTTTCCTATCCTAAAGCTTATAGATTGTAGAAAACAAAAAAGACAACTCATATTGCATTCAAATATTCCCAACTTAAAATGTTAGCTCATCAAAATAGGATCAGAAAACCTCTTGAAATTGAGGTGTGTTTCTGCTAATATCTTCTATCCAACCAAGTCAACTCAAACACAGATCTATTATCAACATCACCCACATCACTACTTGACAGTGAAATATAACCCAATATAGTCCCTGTTTCACTTTTTCCTCCTTTGGAATGGGCAATAACTATATGAGAGCATGCAAGCTACATTCAAAAGCTCCAATCTCAGAAAAACCCAAGTATCGGCATTGATTCAACCTTGGGGGAGGCATTTGGGCAATGCTTCCCAAAAATGCTTTTGATATTGATTTAAAACAATGAGGGTGAGGGAAATGAAAATGCATAGTTTGATTAAGTACAAAAACAAATCTCTCTAATATGACAAATTCTTACTTTGATTGAATTCAAAATAAAATTTGAAATTAATTTCTGGAGATGGCCAAAACATTTCAACAATTTTGGAGATTTCTTCAGCCACAAAAATCAATTCAACCAAAAGCTTTAAAATTATCCATTCCTTATCATAAGTACATTCATTAGCTTACTATTCATTTCTTTCTGTCCTCAAAGAAGAAGAAAATCTTTAAAAGAGATGGCATCGATTGATGCATTGTATTTTTCTAGTTATTGATGAAAGAAAGATGAATTTGAAAATGGAGAAGTTGATTTGAGGAACAAGTCTTGGACACTAAAGTGGATATCAAGAGCAAAATTTGGACAAAGGTGAATGCTTGTGACTTGATGTCATGAACACCATAATGGGTGTCTACAGCACTATTGGAATAGTGGTGATTGCTTGTGGCTTGATCAAAGCAAAAGTTTTCAGGGAAGATTGCCTGAGTATCCATAGGAAAATTGAACAAAGGCTTATTCTCGAACTTTTGCATATTGGGCCCAGCCAATGCTTGTGGCTTCTACGCTCTCCCATAGCTTTTAAGAAAAAAATATGAAAGAAAGAGTATATACAGAATATACTGGGTTAAATCATAAAAACGTGAACTCAGCCTCTCAATTTCTAAGGATCCTGATCCATCAAAAAAAGGTGCCCTTTCCAATGACTTAGTGAAACAAGCAAAATTAACTGTGAAACATGATGAGCCACTGATCAAATAAAATCCATACAAGTGCGCAAGCATGTCTACCACAGAAAGAAAGCATCTATACATGTGTGCATGAATTTCTACCACAGAAAGAAAGCATGCAGAAACTTAAACTAACATATGATATCCTATAAACAAAAGCCAAGGGTTTTGATGAGAATTTTGCAACATGCCCATCAAGAAGGAAACTACCATCTACCAAAACCACAATCATAACTGAGAAAGTAACACATACACGGTATGAGATGACATTGCTTGAGCAACTGTTGACATGCCTTGTCTTTGCTTGTGCTTAGGGTTGGCCGTACATAACACATATACACGTCCTCGACGCTTAACTGTCCGACAGAACTCACACATCTTCTTCACAGATGACCTTACCTTCATGATTACTCAAACGTCTACAACCTGTCAAAGTAGCCTTAGTAAGCATAATTAACCACATAACCACAGCAAGATCCACACCTAGGGATGAGTTCCACGTGCTGCTCTATGATAACATATTTACAGAATGCACCAACCGTATCTGATAAAATGATCAATTCGTCATCCTAAAAATTGAAGTATGCCAACCCTGCCCGAACTTGATTAAGAAAAACCACAAAGGGGGAAAACCATTGGCCGAATAGAAGAAATGGTGGAGGCATGAAAACCGTGAATAAAGTATTTACTTCCGAAAAACCCAACCAGATATCCAGCTAAAAATTATATATAAATTGTCAAAGAGTATGGTAAAGTCACGTCAAAAAGAACAAAAGAAGAAGAGAAAAAGAGTATGGTGGAGTTATGCCATTGTTGTGCCAGAGAAAACGAAAATGAGAAGCCAAGATCAACACAGAGCACGAGCAGACGGGATTATTTTCGAAATTTCTTAATCAGAAAGGATGAATTGAAGCATATCCGAAATATCCAATCCAACTGAATTTACAAATCAAACAAAATCATTGTTCTCAGCATCAGCTTATGTTAAGGGACTGAAAAAAAAGAAAATGGTACCTGGGAAGAGGACAGTGGAGTCGGCGGCGCCGGCTGGAGGTGCTCCGCAGATGTCAGCGGCTAGCAAGCAGAGAGGCGAAGAAGCAGAAAGGCAAAAGCCAACGGGGATGATGCCATAGCAGTTAGGGCATATTCATGGATGGGCAATTGTGGAATATTGAAAATTAGGCATGGTATTTTAGTTAATACATGACATATTTACTTTCCTCCTCTTTTTGCCTATGACCAGAGCTGGGAATAGACTACACAATTTATTAGGAGTATATAATAGAAATAGGCTCAAAGCGCAAGCTTTTTTGAAAGCGTGTTTCCATTAAAATGTTAGGCCTAAATTTTTTAATAAGCCTATTAAGCTTGTCACATCAGCTTGTACATGTTATCATCAAAGAGTAAAAAATTAGACTGAACCAACCAATTCAATAAAAAAACTAGTGAACCACCTGGTGGCCTGGTTTAGTTTGGATGTTAAATAAGGAGGGAGTTAAACGATCAAATCGGAGTGAAACGGTGAAAACCGGTGAAAATCGGCAATGAATCGGTTTGGATGATTATGTTATTATTAGTCTTATTTTTTTTCATTTAACTTCTAATATATCAACCCCTATAGATTTAAATGAATTTTAATAATGATTTTGGTATCAATGATTATTAATTTTAGTTAATGATGAACTATAAAGATCAAAATTCTTAATGTTATTATATTTTGTTATTGTTACAATTAAACTATTGTTATATTTTCTTATATTTTGTTATTAGTGATTATTAATGTTGTTATATTTTGTTATTTTTAATTATATTATATTATTTTAATATGACTAATTGGACTCTGAGTTGATCCTAGTTCGATCAACTGACCTTGAGCCGCTACTTTAATATGTTTAGTGACCATCTGGTTTTTCGTTCCTTATTTATAATTTTAGTCTTTTTTTGTGAATAGTACAAGACTAAAACCCATATTGTTATATCTTCACTGCTCGTGGGAAAGACACTCCCATGAAACAAAAATATAGTTCTTGTACTTTCTCAAGTGACTTCACAAAAAATAGTAACCACATTCTTTAACTCAAAGCTAAGATTGGCAAGCTTATCAGCACAAACATTACCTTACCTATATACATGTCGTATCCTAATTCTAACAAAATTTTCTAATTCCTTACAAATTCCAAAAGACTAGACGTCACATCCAACTCATCAACTACATTACAAAAAATATTTACAATAGATAAAAAAAATCACTTTCAACAATAAGAGATTGTATACCAAGGTAGTTAGCCAATTTCAGTTGTAATTACCAATCTAGCCAATTTAGCCAGTCCCTTTGAAGCCCCATTAGTATTCAATTTAACCCAATCCTCCTGTGGTGCTATCTACTTTATATTTATTTCTTGCCTTGTTAGATTCCTTAAGTACAATCCACAAATAGCTTTTTCTACTTCATTTACATAGCTATTTATGACCAAGCACGGGCTGTTAGGGGGTTTATAACCATCCTCAAGCAACCCCTTATTCCTCCAACTCCAAAACATCCAACTTTAAACGCTATATCCTCCGTTTCCTTTTCTTTCTACTTAAACACCATCAAAACCAATCTTTTCCTCGCAGAACATAAAAATCCGAAACAAAACTTCTCTCTCCCAATTGCTACCATACCTCTCTACCATAATCTCTTAACACATGCATCACTATTTCTGGCTCGCTATTACATTTATAGAGCAGGGCTTCCGCCCATCAATCTACTTTTCCTCTTAAGAATAGGTAGTATTTATTTGCTACTAACCATAAGAAAACTTGGATCCTCCTAGGATCCTTTAATCCCCAAAATTTTTCCTATAAGCTATCACATACTCCACCTTCGATTTTTAGCTTATTATACACACCAAAAACTCCAAATTTATCCTGTTAGGCTAGCTTAGGCCTCTTATAATTTTGGTTAATAGTTAATTATTCTACCCTACCCCTAGGTTTTTAATCATGTCGACTATTGTGAAATATTCAACCTCTTTGGTTGAAACCTGCAACCTGGCCGTTCCCGCTTGCTCTCCATGATCGGTCTATCACACTCAATTATTCACTCTCATACCTCTATTATCTGATTTGAAATGTGAAACATTTCTGACCTCCTAAACCCCTATCATTCATGTTCATCATTCGTCTGACCTCCATTCTCTATTCTATCCGTAATAGCCCAGACTGAAAGATTACCGTTCATACTCCCATTCAATGTAGGAAACTTGGGTGAACCTTGTTGTGACGTCCTAATTTTTTTATCATTAAAGTAAATTTTTAAGATCAAATAGAAAAAAGTTAAATATATATATGAAAGAAATTAAAATAATTATAATCATATGTATTTGTGTATATGTATAAATATATATAAATAAATTGATAAAATAACAATATTGAGAAGTCTCACATAAACTAAATGATAGGAAGATAGAACTTTAGGAGTCTATATAGCGGTGGTAGTAGGGGAGAGTTAAGAATAAGTTAAATAATTTTTGCACAAAACTGAAACAGTCTTAGTAAAGTGCTGTTTATGAGTTTGTGAACCATTAGATTGAGTTGAAATTTGGTTAGCCAGTCTGACACTTCAAACTCATCATAGTAAATTATTGTTTTAAAATTTGTTCACTATTAGATTGAGCCAGAATTTAGAGAATCAATTTGTGACATTTAAGAAGTTAAAGTCAACACTAGGATCAATAATTAGACTCCTATAGTTTGTCTGAGTTCTTCAAAGATAGAAAATAAGCTATAAATTGGGAGTGTTCTATCTATGTTACAAATTTAGTGATTCTAATGATATAATTTAATAATTAAAGAGTAATCTGAGTTAAGAGAGCCTAGGAATTGAATCTAAATTCTCATACATATGTTTTTACTCTAAACCTTAGAAAAAGCCGATCCAATTAGAATTCTGAGTAACAGATGAAGGCCTTAGAGGAGGAGTTAGAGGCTAGAACTTTGTGAGTAGTTTACTCTAATACTGTAGATATAATATCTTAATTTCATTTATAGATATAAACCCTATTATGGCATTTCTAAGTGCGGGCCTTGTTTGTATCTGACTAGTAGCTAGGAGACCAAATAATTGAATATCTAGCTGTTGTTAAATTCTTTTATATAAAGTTTTTATTTGCTTGTGGGGTACTATTTTGAAGGGGACTGAACAAAATGAGTTTGGAAATAACTAGTCTTTGAAATATGATGCTTGAGTTAAAGTTTTGATGGGTGATATTCTTATATATGTGTATATCCACTTGAATATTTTGAATCATGTACATTTGGGATAGGCTATGGAGGAGATGATTGGAGTTACTGATATCTATATACTTGCCATGTGGTATTGGCCTCCTTATGAAAATTTATGATTAGCCACTATTATTGTCCCACTAGTTCTTTAAGGAAGTGAGACACCTTACTAGTTCTTCAAGGGGGGACCCATCATCCGCTGAGTGTTTGTGGTCTTTAGCCGGAGGATATAAAGGTAGATTTGGGTTCAATGATTGCATATGGCGTGGAACCTTCATCAATATTTATATCTTTTAATAAATGAAAAGTATATTATATCTTATGATATTATCAATTGTATGAGGCTGGTAAAAATATCTGACTTATATGGTCATTGTGAGGTTAACTGTTAAATAAATGTCCATTAAATATTACTAACTATGTGTATCCCACTTGACACTCGCTAGCCCATGATAGTGTGTATGTGATAGGTTGAAATTTAATTACTGAGACATTGTCTCATCCTTGTTGTTTAACATTTTTCAGGTGAAAAGTTTAGAGAGGGACGTCAAGGAAGGCTCAGGAGGACTAAAGTTACAATAGCAATTTGTAGTGCCTCTTCGATCTATGAGTTATGTTATTTCTTGTATATTGCCACCTTAGAACAATTTGTGTTTCATTGATTCATGCATTATCATATCTTGTGTTCTTTTATTTGTTTTGTTATGGTATGTACATTGGTAATTGGCCAGAGACCTTAGATCATATGTGATATATTTATTATGAATTTATTATAAAATATGGCTAAGACTTAATTATTACTATTTTGATTTATGAACTATATTATATGTTCTTTTATAATCATGTTAGATAGATTGATCTTTTCTAATATGGTATGTATTTGAATAAGTTAAGAAAAGTTCTTTTATCCGTGATAAGGTGTATAATTAGGTGCTACTCTTTTCTATCATGAATGATAGTATCATATAGCAAGTTAGTTTATCTAGTTATGATACATTTGAGTTTTTTATTGGCATGATTTGGTTATAAAAAGTTTTTTGTTGAAGTTACTCTAAAAAAAGTTAAGTTTATCAGTTTATTTAGGAAGGCTATTTCACTTGTCATCCTAGTAAAAACTTTGTTTGTAACACCTCACTAGACATTGATGCCAACATAGCTATTATTCAATGCATAATCACGATAAAAAAGAAACAAGGTAATACTGTTCATGATGCATTATATTGTAGTTATAAAAGATTTCTCTTACCTCAAAATCATTAACCATGTTAGAAAAGAATTTAGCCACTAACATGGTTATAAGGAGCTCGTGTTGTACCTGATGAACATAGTTAAGATAGCAAATAAGTTAGGTACTAACAAGGAATAAATCATCAAACTGGATCTGCTTATTTATTATATAATGAGTTGCCAAAAGAAGTGTAGATCGGGTTGCTTAGCAAAAATCTACTTCAAACCAAAAATATAACCAAAAATAGAAATAACAACTTAGTCAACAAGTTCTACAAAAATAATAGAGAATGTAGATGTTCTGGGTGACAAATAAATGAAAGTCAACATAATCAAAAGAAATGTGGGGTTAGGTCACTTTGCCATGTGACCTCCAGCCTCAGGTTCCTTTCCTGTCGCAACTCTCCTTTTGCTCTCACCTACAAAAAGTAATAGAGTGAGATACAATGTCCTGGTAACAAAACTCCTATCCACCATGTCCACAAGCATCACTATAATATACTGAGGTAGGATTAACAGTTAAAGTGACTATCGTTTAAAATCATGTTCCATAACAAGACACAAATATCAAACATTAGGAATAATAAGTAACAAAAGGAAGTCAAGCAATGGGTCATAATTATAAATCACTATTTATT